AACAAGCCAGGCAAAGAAACATACAAATTCATACCTTCTGTCAGAATCAGTGAGAAATCTGGTGTGGCAGAAATACAAGATGTGAGGACCAGGAATTTAGCTCAGTGGCACCGCGCCTGCCTCACAAGTGCAAGGTCCTGAGTTCAATCTCCAGTACCAAAAAAGAAATACAAGATGTGCTACATAATGAGTTTAAGGCCAGCCTGAACTACAAAGCGAGACTCTGCCTCAAAAAAAAAAAAAAAAAGAGAAAGAAAGAAATTCAAAATATGTTAAGATTGAGGCTGGAAAGCAAACTGTATGTTATGGAGTTTGGACTACAACCTTTAGCAGTTACCAAAAGTTTTTCAGGAAAATGCCTCAATTAGACAGATCCAAGTTGCAGAAAACTAGGTTTAAGTTACAGATAGAAGGGCCAGGGATTTAGCTCAGTGGTTCCAGCACCTGCCTCGAAAGCATAAGGTCCTGATCCCCAGTACCAAAAAAACCCCCCATATATATATATATATATGTTACAGATAGAGCAGTTAGGAAATGTAGGTAGAAAGGCAGGGCTGATCAATAACAGCCTAACCATCACAGAACAACTTCCTACTTGTTGGACAATTGTCTTAAGGACAGTTGTGGTGAGCAGCGTTTCCAGTGTCTGAGACAGCTCAGCCTTGGGAATAGATCAAGGAGACAGAAACCCTGACAGAGAGGACAGAGAGTCTGGGAGAAGGATGTAATAAAACATAAGACACAGCACCATGTTCAATTATACCTACAATGGCCAGTCCCCAGGCTGCAACACTCCAAGCATTCAGCAATAGGCTCAGGTTGCAATAGGATATTTTCTTTTCATATACATATATACTTTTTCAGTTTTGTTTTTTTTTTTGGTCTTTTGAGATAAGGTCTCGCTGGTCTGAGCTCAAGGTGATCCTCCTGCCTCTGCCTCCCAAGTGCTGGGATTACAGGTGTGTGCTACCATGCCTGGCTAGGATATTTTCTTTGCTTTTTATTTTGGGTAGGATATTTTCAAAGTCAAACCACACTTGGATTATCTGTGCCTCATGCCTCACAAAGGAGAATAACAAAAGCAGTGCAAAATCTGAGAAAGGCCCAGGACTGTTATCACACCACTAGCAGGCCATAAAAGCCATCCTCATCAAGCATGAGGATGCTAGAGGTTGAGGATCCTTAAGGATAAGGATGAGACTGTAAAAGCTAGTCTTTCTTAAAAAAGAACAATTTTATAAACGATTTCAGAGGGCTCCTGGATTCCCTGAATACATCCTTTAGAAGTTGAGATCTCTTTGACTTTAGAAGGAGTCCATCAAAATAAAAGGGAAAAAATCAGACATCTGGGAGTTTTGGGGAAAGGGCAAACCACCTTCACAAATCTGCCACCATTGCTCACTTTCCTCGGTCTCTCAGAGTACCTCAAGCAACTTAGGAGACATGATGGTTCTTATTTTGTGTTTCTACCTAGTCAGTGCCTCGGAATTGTTCTCTGATCCTGGTCCATCTTACTGTACCTACACAGTGACTAAAGAAAGGGAAACTTCCTAAGCATAACTTTGATGAGAATACCATCAATGGCTACTGACAAGTGCTACAAGCACTACATTACATGTTTAATATACGTAATTTCATGTAATCTGTGCCATACCATAATGAAACAGGTAAACCCAGGTTCCAGAGCTCCACGGCCAGGATTTCAAACCCAATCCAGTTACTCATTAGCTGTGTCACTTTCAGGAAATTACTCAATTCTCTATGCCTTAGTTTTTTCTACCTGCAATTAAGAGTACTGGTAAGATAGTGAGAACTAAAGGACCAGGTGTGGTGGTGCACACCTGTAATCCCAGCACTCAGGAGGCTGAGGGATGAGGACTGCTGTGAGTTCGAGGCCAGCCTGGGCTATATACATAGTGAAAGCCTGTCTCAAATACTAAAATAAGAAAGAAAGAAAGAGCTATCACTACTATTATCTGAAGACAGTAGTATTATTATCTATCTACTATTATTTTCAGATAAGAAAACCAAGGCTCAGTATACAATGCCACATGTCCAACTGGTATAAAGATAGTATTCCCCAAATCTAGGTTTGCATGACTTCAAAGTTCATGCAGATTACCACTGTGCATTACTACCTTTCATTTGCTCAGGACCTTTTTGGTGATTCCCTAACAAATCTAGGCAGTTATAGCAACATGTACTAAAGGGCACATGGCCTAAAGCCATTCTACCCTGGTAATCCCAGCTACCCTCAAGCAACCCAGAGCCACCCAAAAAATCCCTTTCCCCTGATGTGTAAGCTCCTGGCATTCAAAATTCCCACACATACCCCTTCCATATACTTTACCAGCCTCATCTTTCCTTCCTCAGGCTAGTAACAAATTGTAAAACCTTGCTAATTTATATCCTCATTTCCATTCCTCTTTCCACAATCAGTTTTGCACACCTTAGCCGGAGTAATATTCTAAAAATTCAGCCAGAGATTTAGCTCAGTGGTTTGGCCACCTGCCTCACAAGTGCAAGGTCCTGAGTTCAATCCCTGGTACCAAAAAAAAAAAAAGAAAGAAAAGAAAAAGGAAGAGAGAAGAAAGGAAGGAAGCCAGCCATCCACCCAGTCGGGTGTGGTGGTGCACACCTGTCATCCTAGCACCTGAAAGGCTGAGGCAGGAGGATCACCATGAGTTCAAAGCCAGTCTGGGTTAAACCTCTTAGTAATTATAAGACCTCACAGCATTTTATACTTTTCTTTTGTAGTACTTAACATAACTATAAATCTTTTTTTTTCTTTGGTACCGGGGATCAAACTCAGGACCTTGTACTTGCAAGGCAAGCGCAGCGCCACTGAGCTAAATCCCTGGCCCACTAAATCTTTTTTTTTTTGGTACCGGAGATTGAACTCAGGACCTTGCACTTGCAGGGCAGGCAGCAGAACCACTGAGCTAAATCCCTGGCCCCACTAAATCATTTTTTAATATCTGTCTTCCTTAGTGGACTAGAAGCTAAATGAGGGTCTGTATACTAGTAACCCAGGCACTTAAATGCCTGGCATTTGATAGACAATATTTGTCAAATGAATCAATGAAGCCTTCAAAGTCAATTCCCATTCGAGTTCTGTGGTGTATACAATCCCAGCACTGTGGGAAGATGAGGCAGGAGAATCAAAATTTGAGCTTAGCCTGGGCAACTTATCTAGACCCTGTCTCGAAAATCAAATAGTAAGGGCTGGGGATATAGCTCAGTGTGAAGGCCCCAGGTTCAATCTCCAGCACTACAAAAATAAAATTTTTAAAAAATCAATTACCACATCCTACAACTAATATTGAGCTTCAGAGTCCAGGTTTAGGGCCAACCACCTGGGTCTAAATACTAGCTGTACCACTAACTGAACAACTTAAAGCAAGTAAGTACCTTAGCTTCTCCACACCTGTTTCCTCAAATGTAAGGAGCATAATATTACCTACTTCATCTGGCTGTTGACAGAAAATGAGATAACTCAGATAAATGCCCAGGCTGAAGAAGCACACCAGAAATATTAAGCGTGTTATGATCCTTATTACAGAGGCCAGGAGCTAGGTCTCTTCAGCGCACATCCAACAAGCACTAAGGACAGCCACACCCATGGCTCTAGATCCCACCTGGCAGGAGGGAAGCGGCTGACATCCCCTCTGGCAAAAGTGAAGCATCGAAGGTTCGGACTGCAGGCTGTGGATGGAGCTACAGAATGGTCACTCTCAGCCTCCGGATCCCAGTGGGAGATGGCTTCATTCACAAAATCCTTGGCATTCAGCTGCTCCAACTTAGCACTCACATGATCTGAAGCAGCAAAATTATTGACCAGAGCACCATACTTCTGCTCTGAGAGGAGACTGACACGGATAGATGGCCAAAGATCCCCAAACTGCACACTGTAGGTCATGTCAAAATTCTGCAGAGCCAGTTGACTGGCAGGGAATTTGGGTTCGGTGGCAGCCTAAAAAAGAAAGAGCAGGCTTACTGATCTCATTCTTGCCTCTGACCTCACCCAAACCTCAGAGCCCAGGGGCAAATTCAGAACCAGCTAATGTCCAACCCTGCCTTGGCATTCTGCCTCTGCCTGCCAGAGAAGTATGTGGCAGACAGAGGTGCCCAGGAGGGCTGGGCATGGCAGCACACACCTATGATCCCAGCACTCAGGAGGGTGAGGCAGGAGGATCACCATGAGTTTGAGGCTAACCTGGACTACACAGTGAGTTCAAGGCCAGCCTGAACTACAAGATCCTGTCTTAAAAGACCAAAAACAAACATATAAGTAAATAAATGGGGGGGGGAGTGATGAGGAAGCTGGACCTCTCACAGTTAACTATGTGTTCAGGCAGGAGGGGCCTCATCAAGAAGGAAAGTCTTTGGCTGAGGTGTCACTCAGTGTTAGAGCACTTGCTTAGCATGAGTGCTGCCCTGGGTTCTACCCCTAGCACTTCGAAAGGCAGGGAGGGAGGCTTGGAGTGAGAGGAATTTAAGAGAAGGGAAGCTCAAAAGAAGACTCCTGAGGAGAGCCTGCAGCAGGCTGGAAGAGACTACAGAAGCAGTGGGAAGGCTTTAGGCTTTAAAAAAAACAAAAGATACTCTGCCTTCGAACAGACCTTCTATTTTCCAAAAGCTGTGTCTACTAGTTCATGCAAACACTACAAGAAAAGTGCTCAGTAGGATACAAAAAACAAACAAAACAAAAACTTCCACATTTCATGGAGAGATAAGGGTAACTTACCTAAGATCACACAGTGAATAGCAACATAATGCTCAGAATCATAGGGTTGAAGGTTGTTTTGGGAGAATTCCCAGACCCCAGGAATAAGATAAGGAGTACGGAGGGCTCACAGTCAAGGTATGAACCAAAACAAGTACTTCTAGAATGACTGCTACGGGAATACCAGTGAGGCACATGAGTCAGGCCTGAAGAGCACAAAAGTAGATTAAAAGGGAAGTGAAGACTTCATATGAGTACTGTAGTTCATAATTTGGTCTTGGGTGCCGCAGCTGGAATGGTCACTATTACTGGTAGTCTTGTTACTGTCTGTACTTTCGCTTCAGCCTAGATTTTTGATCTAGTCAGAACTTCTGTTCTCATTTCTTATTCTGGGGACTCTTGCTCAGACCACAACTTTTGCCAGTGTGAGGACTCTTGCTCCGCTTCCGACTTCTGTCATCACGAGTACTCTTACTCTGGTTCTGAACTGTGAGGTTCTGGTTCTGGTGAGGACTACTGCACCGGCTCTGACTTCTGTTTTGGCTCCGACTTCAATTTTTGCTTTGGTGGCTGCTCTTGCTGTCACTACTCTGACATTCACTCACGATGGTCAAATTAAAGCTTGGATTAGTGCTACAGGTTGAGCTTTTGGGTGAAGGCAAAGGGCAGCTATAGGGAACCTGGGGGGACTCTTTGCCGGGGACTTGAGAGGCCACAGAATAGGTATGAAACCCACAGGGGATATTATTAGGGCAGGGCTGAGGTCGGGGGACAACAGGTAAACACTGGGGGTCAAAGGGTGTTCTCAGGGGAATAAAAGAATAGATGTGGGTAGAACAAGGAAGTATGGGCGGGCCCCGGGAGCACCATAGGTATCACAGGGCGGCATTACAGGCTGGTTATGACACTGAGGGGGCCTTTTAGAGTGACTGAGGGAACTAGAGAGTAGACAGGGATTAGAGGTGGGGGGAACCACAGAATACATATGGGTATTGCAGGGAGATACCATGGAGGCTCCATGGGGACTGCTCTTAGCATAACTACTGTGTGAGATAGGATCACAAGTAACGCAGAGAGGAAGAGAAGTAGGGAGAACCGTTTTGATGTTTCCAGGGACCACGGTAGGTAAGGGAGTCCCTAGGGGCAGTTCTTTGGTGCAGCAATTTGAAGGAGTTGTGAGGGATGGCTCCATACAAGAAGGACCAGAGAGGCCAGGGGGGTGGGGTGGAGGCAGAAGAGAGGTGTTGGCCTGAGGGAACTTGGGTTGCTCAGGAGTATGTTGGGTAGTACTGACTAGGGAGCGACATTTGTGGGGTGTACGTGGCTGTCTTAACTCTGAGGATTTAGGGGACTTCATGTATGGGGAAACTGGAGTAGGAAGAGGAGGTTCATTATAGCTTCTGCAGGGGACTGGCTGTGGTGGAGCTATAAATTGGTGGCCCAGGAGTGAATGGAAGTAGAGCTCAGAATAAGGACAGTGGGAAAGTGGTGGTTCTGGAGGACAGGGGGGACCAGAAATCATGGTGCCAGGGGTTAGGAGGAGATAAGAGCTCCCACCAGTCCCACAGGAAAGAATGGACTCAAAGCAAGGCTTCTTGGGAGCCTGGAACTGGGGTGAGCAAGAACCAGTATTCTCAGGGGATAGGCAGATGCCACAGTAAGGGCTCCCAGGGGCAGATATGTGGGCCTCTGAGGAAATATGGGAGTAATGAAAAGAGCCCTCCTGAGGTGAGCTGGGAGAGCCAGAGGTGCCTGCCTGAGAAGAGAGCGAGGAGCCACAATTTTTGCCAAGGGGCACATCAAGCTGTGGTTTGGGTTCACAAGAGTCTGAAGGCTTATGGTTATCATGGCAAAGGCTGTCAGTGGGTCCAGAAGATGCTGAAAGGTGAGGAAGGGGTGGGTCATTATAACTCCTCCCTGAGGACCAGTGAGAGAGCAGAGGGGAGATCACAGTTCCAAATTCCAAAACCCCACGAGAAAGGGTTGTGGAAACTATAGGTCTAGTTTCCATGGGCAGATGAGCAAGTGGAGGTGAAACTGAAAGTCCAGTTCCCAGGGGTCTATGAGTAAGAGGAGGTGAAATCATGGAACAAGTTCCCTCGGACTCCGGAGTGAGGGGAGGTACAATTATTGGGGCAGTTTCCAAGGGTATGTGAATGAGCTGAGGGAAAGTCACAGGGCTGCTTCCTGGGGGCTGCGAGGTCACTGGACTATAGTAACAAAGGTAAGTGTGCTGGTCAGAGAGTGAGCTCGGAGGACAAGGACGCTACATTCTCGGGGGACTGACCCAACTGCAGTAAGTGCTCTGCTGTCGGTGAGGGGGTGACCCCGGAAGGCCTAATCGATCAAGACAAGGGCTTCTAGGGGATGAACCAGAGAGTCTGGGACCGTGGCAACAGGGCCTTCCCAGGAATGTGGGAGAAGAGGGTTCAAAAGAATTCTGTGGGAGTGAGGAAGGAGTTGGTGGGGGTGGGGTGGGGACCCTTCGGGGTACACTGGGAGACTTGCCACTGAGGCAAGATGAAGGGTCTCTGGAGTGAGGAAGGTCGTTGCACTTTTTGCCTGTCTTTGGGGAAGAGTTGCCAGGGTGGTTGCTGTAACCTTTCCCGGGCGCCTGAGGCGGCTCGAGGGTGAGGACGTGGCTGAATCCTTTTCCGAAAGGCGAAGGAGGGAAGGGGTCATCGCTATGACAGTGTCCAGGAGATGAGGGCAACTGGGCTGAAAGTTGATGGAGAAAAGGAGAAGTCATGGTGGACGAGAGTAGGAGAAAAGGGGAGGGGAGGGGAGGGAGGGGGAGAGGAAGGGGTAGTGGGGACCAAGGGAAAGCTAACCACCAGGAAGAGGCGGTGACTTCACGGAAAGAATGGGGCGGGCGATGACGTAACTTTAGGAGGCGGAGTCAGGAGGTGGCAAACGTTTCCGGAAAAGGAGGCAGAGGCTTGCGACGAGTAAAAGCACAGACCGAGCGTGACCGGCAGACGTAGGTAGGCGACGCTCCTTGGGGGGGGGGGGGTAGAAAAGATGCCGTGGCGGTCTAATGGGGAGAAAGTAATGAACGCTACCGAGGAGGGCAGGAAATGCAACGGGTGGAGGAGCTTCCCACCTACGCCTCTAGCCGGCCTTACCCATTTCTTCTTATGTCGATGTCTCCGCGGGACCAGCGCCAAGTCCACAAGCCTCATCAGCTCACGAACACCCTTCAGTATAGGCGCAGCCATGTCCGAGTGCGCCGCCGGCTAATTCCGGCAGGAACCCCAGCCGCGGCCCACAGGTTCCGCGGAGCTGTGTGCGCGCTGGTTTGAAGGAAGAGCACGGTCTCTGATGCTCTCCCTGGGCTCCGCCTTCCTCTACACACGGTGCAAGCCCCGCCCCACCAAAGGTCCCTTGACTGTGCCGGGAAACAGATCAGGCCCGCAGCCCTGGCTCCTAAGTGCACGGAGCAGTGTAAGGGTCCCTTAGGGGGATCAGAGAACTGGGAGCTGGTGGTTCAGTAGTGAAAGAGTTAACTAGGGAAAAAGAAATAGGAAGGACCTTTTAGAAGGAAATGGCACGCATTAAGATCCTGAGGTACGGTCTGGGGATTTAGCTCAGAGGTTCCACCGCCTGCCTCGAAGACACAAGGACCCGAGTTTGATCCCCGGTACCAAAAGAAGATCCTGAGGCAGAAGAAAATTAGACCAGACTTGTGGGCAGAGGCGGATTTGAAGTGAAGCTAACGAAGCTTAAGTTTCAAGACCTGTCATTTATTTACACAGCCCCCCTTTCAAGGCCTTCTACTTCGTTTTGTATTATTTTTCTGAAAGAGCTTTTCAAATTATGTCTGCTGTAGGTCCCATTACACTGGTCTCCACCATTGGAACATAAAGTGTTTTTAGAAAGGAAGCTGGGAGTGGTGGCAAACACCTATAACCCCAGCATTCCCGAGGCTGAGGCAGGAAGATCGCTGTGAGTTCAAGGCCAGCCTGAACTACATGGGGAGACCCTGTCTCAAAAAAAAAAAGAAAAGAAAAGGAAAGGAAAGAAAAAAAGAAATGATCGTCTGATAGTTGATGATGTGAGTAGGTAGGAGTTACACTGGAAGATCAGATGAGAGGGGCCGGGGATTTAGCTCAGTGGTTCCACCGCCTGCCTCGAAAGCGAAAGGTCCCGAGTTTGATCCCTGGTACCAAAAAAAAAAAAAATCAGATGAGAGAAGATAATGGTCTAGATTCTTGTAGTGACAGTGAAGATGAAGAGAAGGATATAGATTCCGCTTCTAATTAAGAGATTTACAGGACTGGCCCTATCTAAAATGTATAATAGAGGGCTGGGGATTTAGTTCTGCCGCCTGCCTCGAAAGTGCAAGGTCGTGAGTTCAATCACCTGTACAAAAAAACAAAAAATAAAATGTATAGTAGATATTGAGAAGTGAGAAGAAAATGTTCAAATGAGAAGGGGAACAAGGGAGGGTTGAGGGGGAAAGGAAAGGAGGGACAAGAAAAGAAAGAATAGAAGGAAAAAGTGGAAACAGCTTTTGTAAATAAGGAGAGGAAGAGGAATTGAGGGGGAATGGGAAAAAAGTAAGATGTATCATGTACAGTTACAAATTCCCTATGATGAATGTGATCATTACATATATCTAAAATATACCAATAAAATTAATTTTAAAATATTTGTCTATTAATATCTATTAATAGGTGCTGGGTTAGAAATTTAAAATGAGCCGGTCATGATGGCACATGCCTGCAACCCCAGTACTCAGGAGGCTGAGGCAGAAGTATCTCTGCAAATTTGAGGCCAAATCCTATCTCAAAAAAACAAATATCTTGCGTTTTCCTCTTTTACTTAGCCCAAATTCGGCCTGCAGAGCCAATTTCTCCCTCACTCTTCACTTTTACTTTTTCAAATAAACTTTGTAACTGCTTTTTGCTCATTTCACTCAATTCTTTGTTCGAGACCAGAAGAACCTGAAATCCAACTCCAGAAAGAGATAGCCGCATTATAAAACCTGATAATGTTTATTTGGTGAGCCACTTTTTTTTGGTACCGGGGATTGAATCGGGTCTTTGCACTTGCGAAACAGGCGGCGTAACCACTGAGGTAAATCCCCAGCCCTGGTGAGCCACTTTTAGAAAAAGCTACCTGGTAACAGTACTATGGATTGAATCTGGTCTTGCTTTGCCCAAGCTATATTTCAAACCTTTTTTTTTTTTTGGTACCAGGGATCAAACTCAGGTCCTTATGCTTTTGGGGCAGGCAGCAGAACCACTGAGCTAAATCCTCAGCCCTTCAAACTTTTTTTAAAAATGTTGCTAGGTTGCCTTGAATTTGTGATCTTCCTGCCTCAGCCTCCCAACTAGTTATAATGACAGGTGTGTGCCACAGAGCTTGGCTCATTATTATTCTTTTAATTAGCAATAATCGCACCTCAGATAAACCTCATTGGCTATGATACTGCCACTGTACAAAGCTTTATTATTATTCTTTTAATATCTGTGGTAGCTGGGCATGGTGGTACATGCCTATAGTCCTAGCACTTGGGAAGCTGAAGCAGGAGGATTGCCTCAAGTTAAGAGGCCAGCCAGGGCTACATAGTGAGTTCAAGGCCAGCCTAAACTACATAGTGAGACCCTGTCACACACACACAAAATACAGTAGCCAAGCATAGTGGCACATACCTGTGGGAGGCTGAGGTGAGGTGGGAGGATCACTGTGAATTTGAGGCTAGTTAGACCTTGTCTCAAAAAAAAAATCTATGGTAGGGGTCTAGGGGTCAGCAGAATAGAGCCACAAGCCAAATTCAGCCTGGAGCCTAGTTCTGAAATACTATTTTAACACAGCCACACTCTTCATTTATATCATGCTTAGATCTCACTACTACAGTCAAATTGAGCACAGTAGTCCTCCCTTATCCACAGGTAACACATTCCAGCAACCCCAATGGATGCCTCAAACCTTGAACAGTTGTTATGGGTAATATCTAGATGTCCCCACAAAACCTCATGCGTTCATAGGTGGCGCTTTTGGAATCTGGATTAGTCCACTGATTGGTTTAGTATAGTTCTGGGTGTGGGTGATGTATTTACTGAAGAGGAAAGTCCCATTCTGGGTGTGGCACCAACCAATAGGCTTACAGCCTGAATGGAATAAAAAGGGAAAGAAGAAAGTCTGAACCTGAACGCCATGAACTGTTTCTCCTCTGCCACACCACTCTGTGTTGCAGCCAGTGGAATATGGACTAAAACCTTTAAAGACTGTGAGCTAAGATAAACATTTCCTCCTTTAACTTCTGGGTGTCAGGTATTTTGTCCCAGCAACAAGAAAGTAACTAAAACAATAGGGTCCACTCTTATCCATGCTATATTTTTCTATACATATATACGTACCTATGATAAAATGTATAAGTTGGACAGATTAACATTAATAGAACAATTGTGACAATATACTGTATTCTCATATGCAACCAGAGGTCGCAAACTAGTATGCCAAATCAACAGATAAAAGTATTTGGTCTGCATGCTTTCAAAATTACTTTCCCTCAACCAGGCATGGTGGCATACACCTGCAATCCCAGCACTTGGCAGGCTGAGGCAGGAGTATAACTCAGTTCAAGGCCACCCTGGGCTACATAGTGAGACCTTGTCTCAAAAAAAAAAAAAGAGGGCTGGGGATTTAGCTCAGTGGTTCCACCGCTTGCCTTGCAAGCTCGAGGTCCTGAGTTCAATCCTTGGTACCAAAAAGAAAAAAAAAAAGCCAGGGATTTAGCCCAGTGGTTCCGTTGCCTGCCTCGCAAGCACAAGGACCCAAGTTCGGTCCCTGGTACCAAAAAAAAAAAAAAAAACAAAAACCAGAAAAACAACAACAAAGTTACCCTCATTTAAAAATTGAAGACTGGGTGGGATTTCACATACCTGTAATTCCAGCATTTAAGAGGCTGAGGCTGGAGGATCATGAGTTCAAGGCCAGCCTGGACATAGCAAGACCTTATCTCAAAAAACAAAATTTTTTTGGAGACATTTCACAATTTGGATTTCTGGGTCCTTATCAAAAGATCTGATAACACTAGATCTGCAATTCTTCACAGAAACAGCTGGCTGAAATACAGAAGCACTTTTCTAATTCCTATAGGGCTCACTTCCATCAGTTGCCACTTAAGTACTTGAGCTTGCAACTGTTAGAACTCCATGTTCTAATATGGTAACCACTAGACACACATGGCTATTTGAATGTGACTTAAAATTAAATAAAATTTCGGCCGGGGATTTAGTTCAGTGGTGCCATGCCTGCCTGGCAAACAAAAGGTCCCGAGTTCGATTCCCAGTACCAAAACAAGCAAACAACAAAAATATTAAATAAAACTTAATTCAGTTTCTTGGTCACATTATCACATTTCAATTGCTCAACAGTCGTATGTGGCTACTGCCTAGCATACTGCATAGTTTTGGATATGCTACCAGTTGGGACAGGAAATATTTTTGTCTTTTTGTGTTATGTGTGTACTGGGGATTGAACCTGAAGGAATCTTAGGCCAGGGATTTAGCTCAGTGGTTTTGGCGCCTGCCTTGCAAGCTCAAGGACCAGAGTTTGATCCCCAGTACCAAAAAAAAATAAAAAAATAAAAAATAAAAAGGAGGGCTGGGGATTTAGCTCAGTGGTTCCTCTGCCTGCCTCGTAACCACAAGGACCCGAATTCGATCCCCGGTATCAAAAAAACCCAAAAAATAAATAAATAAAAAGGAATCTTGCTGGGCGAGGTGCTATATGACTGTAATCCCAGCACCAAGGGAAATTGAGACAGGAAGATCACAAAGTCAAATCCCATGTAGGCAACTTAGCAAAACTGTCTCAAAATAAAATATAAAATAAAAAGAGCTGCAGATATAGCTCAATGGTAGAACATCCCTAGGTTCAATCCCTAGTACCAGGAAAGAAACCTAAATTAGGGGTTAGGGGTGTTGCTCAGTAGAAATGAAAGAAACCCTAGGTTTGATTCTTATACTGCAAGGGAAAAAAAGTAAGAATTCCTAGCACTCAAGAAAGAAAAAAAGAAAAGGGGAGGAGGAGGGAAAAAGAAAGGAAGGAAAGAAAAGAAGAAAAAGGAAGGAAAGAAAATGGAAGGGAAGAAAAGGGAAAGGAGGAAGGACAGGAAGGAGAAACAAAGGGATGGAGGGAGAGAAAGTTCTAAATCAAAAAGGTCAGGGGGCCGGGGATTTAGCTCAGTGGTTCAGGCACCTGCTTTGCAAGGCAAGGTCTCGAGTTCGATCCCCAGTACAAAAAAAAAAGATCAGGACGCAGGGCTGCACATCACAGGATTTTATTAAGATGGAATCACTG